TGGTCAGCGAATACAAGATGTTCTTTGATTGAATGAGGGGCAGATCTTGATGTCCTCCTGGAAGCTTTGGTGTCTCTACATAGGTAGGATGGGAACACTGGGGATCCACATAGTCACCATGTTGCCAATAACGAGCCATAGGGCCACTCGCTTGGCAAAGAGGCAATTCAGAGAACACCCAGAATTTTGCTCAGTGAATACAAAGTGTTCTGTGATTGGACAATGGGCAGATTGTGATGTCCACCTGGAAGCTTTGGTGTTCCTACATACTGTAGGTGGGGGGGAAACGCTGAGGATCCACATAGTCACCATGCTGCCAATAATGAGCCACTTAAAGGTACCATTTATCCGCATGATGGGTGAGCAGAGTGCGCGTCTTGACACATATATCATTTGCTGGTTATGAGCAGAACTGGTTCTTGCTACAAGAGAGTCACCATCTGCCTCTCCCCTGCCCCGGCTGACGGCTTTCATGAAAGACACGGCTCAGCGCAGCTCATCTCCTGTCTCTGTACACAGCTGGCCGGGGAGGCGAGATCCCAGCGCTGGGCCGCGTGCGTCCAGACCTTTCACTTCATCAGCTTGTTGAAGTGCAATCTGGGGCGCTCGGTCCCCATGGCGCAAAGCGCACTCGCTTTATTCATGGGCCTTAAACTAAATGTCACTATTGATTTGGTATCATTAATAGGATGGAGCGGGTTCTGCTGGTTGGCTAAATAGCTTCCCCCCCTCCCCTCCTCCGTCCCGTCATTCTTCGCCTCGTCTTAATCTTTATAAAGTCAAAAATTCTATGTTCAATATAGTGGAAGTTCACCTTCAAACCTCACACACCAGAGACACATCGGTTCCACTAATTAATCATATTTACATATACAGTATGTCATTATTGACACGTTGTATCCTGCTATTGATGGAAAGGAAAACCCTCCAGTGACACCGACCGCCAGGACAAATCAAAGTGTCACTCCACCTAACAGGGACAGACACAGCAATAAAAACCTGACAGAGGGTTAAATCCTTCCATGTACAACTAAACATAAAAGTCAGGGCAGGAGAAGACCAATGGCTGAGTTTTATAAAGCAATAATCCCGTTATGTGGCTCTTCTACATAAAGAACAACCCTGAGCGGTTCTTCCTCATACCCATGAAGTGCGAATCATCTCAGAGGGCCGTTAGACTGTGCGATCTGATGCTCACTTCATTGACTCATCCTAAAATCCTAATTAGATCGATTTTAATTCCGAAGTCGGGAGGACTATTGATCTCGGCCCCGAGTGGTTGTTCCCTGTAAAATAATTAACATCGGACAACCGCGTTCCTGCGTCTCCGCAATTACACCTGATTGTATCCCCCTCCTAACTTTCACCCAGGCTAATATCATCATGATAATAAAGCCAAACTTCTCAGCTACAAAGTTCTACAAGAAAAGTAGAATATATAAACAATGTTACTTTGTATCTCTCTATCTCCCCTCTGATCAATGTTTATATACAATGTTACTTTGTATCTCTCTATCTCCCTCTGATCAATGTTTATAAACAATGTTACATTGTATCTCTCTATCCCCCTCTGATCAATGTTTATAAACAATGTTACTTTGTTTCTCTCTCCTTCTGATCAATGTTTATAAACAATGTTACTTTGTATCTCTCTATCTCCCTCTGATCAATGTTTATAAACAATGTTACTTTGTTTTTTACAGCAGCGGCTTCTACAGCTTTTGTATTTACACAGCCATTCCTGAGTGTCGTTGTAGATATATTTATAAACATTGATCAGAGGGAGATAGAGAGATACAAAGTAACATTGTTTATAAACATTGATGGGAGGGAGTTAGAGAGATACAAAGTAACATTGTTTATAAAATCTGCATATGAATGTCGGGAGCTGAGCCGGTTACAACATTTGACATCACCGAATGTCTGGAATGTGATTGGTTTACACAGAGGAGACATTATTTTGTCTTGAGCACAGATTCCTGGTAATTCCTCAGGCGAGTCATGCTGGGATTTGTAGTCCCTTCGACGTGTAGACTTTCACAGCTGGCCCAGCTTAGCTCGCCTTGGAGATTTTTTTCCTTACCGAGCCGAAGCTTCAGAAATAAACATGAAGCCACTTTGTCCTGCGGGCCGTTGTCACTGAACTTCAGCGAATGTGACAACCCCCCAATCATTGGGCCTCGCCGGAAGGCGGGAGGTTTTCTGAGCCGCTGAACGGTGACTCGGGGGCCCCGGAATTCTGCCGCCGCCGTCACAATGTCTCAGCGCGAGTCGCCTGACCTCACGTCAGTGCCCGGGCGGCACGCGTTGCGCGCTAGTTTCCCGGAAGCGGGCGCTGTCCCTTCGTTTCTCGTCATTGGCCGGGCGGTGGAAGCGACAGCAGGCGGCGCGGAGAGGCGAACTCTGAGAAAAAGGGACAAGCTGCTCCGTTATTTCAGTTATTTCAGGGAGAGCTCGGGGGCCACAAAATGTAACACTCGCTTCACTTCAATGATGTCGTCCTTCAGAGGTCGCCATTCAGGAAATTATTTTTTAGGTTTAGCTTAACAGTAGGTGGAAACTGTGTTCCCACTCAGCTGCCACACACCAGCTGAAAGCTGAAATCGGGCTTGCGGTGGCTTGTTTGAGTACTGATAGGAGGGAAAGGCCATTTTCTGGGCTTACAGAATGTAGAAAGTGCTAGGCGGGTGTAGTCAGTGTGGTTCCCTAACACTGCAATGTCAGGGGCGGAGGCCTGGTGTCTGAAAGTGTGCACGCTGCAAAAAGGGGGGCTATTGTATTACTCGACCAGCAGAAGGGCTTTACATTGGCTTCACGGCTTACTTCAATGCAGTGATTTTGCCTAGGCTGAGTAGTTGTAATCATTCTGCTGCAGGCAGGTGAAAGCATTTCCTCAGTCTCCCCTCCCCCAGTGATCAGCCTGCTGCAGGCAGGAGAGAGCATTTCTTCAGTCTCCCCTCCCCCAGTGATCAGTCTGCTGCAGGCAGGAGAAAGCATTTCTTCCGTCCCCCCTCCCCCAGTGATCAGTCTGCTGCAGGCAGCAGGAATCATTTCCTCAGCCTCCCCTCCCCCAGTGATCAGTCTGCTGCAGGCAGGAGGAAGCATTTCCCCAGTCTCCCCTCCCCCAGTGATCAGTCTTCTGCAGGCAGGAGGAAGCATTCCCTCAGTCTCCCCTCCCCCAGTGATAAGTCTGCTGCAGGAAGGAGGAGGCATTTCCTCAGTCTGTTATCTCTGAGCCGGCACCTCAGTCCAGGAAGTGGATGGTGACCCCGGACGATGGCGCTCTCCGTCTATACATGGACATGGTGGGTATGTGGGAGGAGGAAAGTGAACCTGGCCCACCATGGATGTCACATGAGACAATCCCGGCACAGTGAGGGGTCAGAGGTCAGGTCAGGGTGCTGTAGAGTGACCTTCCTAATTCGCCATGTCAGGTGTCTTCCACGTCCGGATGCCTGATAAGACCCGGATGCCCCCGCTGTCACCGATTGGCAGTCTAGCACAAGTGATCCGCGGTGACTGAGACACGTAATGACGGAGCCATCAAGTCTGATTATCACCCAGCACAGAGAGAAACTCTTCCCCCTCGCCGCGCGTCGGCCTCCTGTCCCCCCGGGGCCACCTCCCTGCCGTTCATCGCTGCACCAATATAACGCCGCAACCGGCCTGTCCTGATTATTCTTTGGAGACATGTACAACGAACATACTTTAAGCTTAATCTGCCGGATCTTTTGTCTTCCCTGATTTCCCCTCCCCCATCATCAACATGTTTTACATAAATCCTTTGTTTTTATTACATTCCTTATTTTAGTCCCGGGGTGATGTCATCATTGGGTCCCTGTGCTTCTCTAGGCAATGCAGGCAGATCATGGCTTGTGGGAGGGGCCGGCAGGGTGCCGTACATAGCCTCCTGAAAACATCTCCGCACCCTGACTTGGTACTCCTCTCAAGAGCCCATGACCCTGATGCAAGCAGTGGGCTGGCTCCTGGGAGGAGTTGCCTTGATGGGTGGGTGTCAGTCTGGAGGAGGGGGCGTTCCTCAGCAGGATGTATTTGCATGCAGACCGCCCACATGTGACACTGATTGAAAGGACTGAAATCCAATGAATGAAAGGGGCGGGGCCAGGGGCAGTCAGGCTAAAGCACTACACAATAACTTTTGATTTTAATTCCCCTGGAAAAATATCAGTTCACTTCCTGTGCCTAGGCACTCCTAATATCAGTGCACTTCCTGTGCCTAGGCACTCCTAATATCAGTGCACTTCCTGTGCCTAGGCACTCCTAATATCAGTGCACTTCCTGTGCCTAGACACCCCTGATATCAGTGCACTTCCTGTGCCTAGACACCCCTGATAGCAGTGCACTTCCTGTGCCTAGAAACTCCTGATATCAGTGCACTTCCTGTCCTAGGCACTCCTGATGGCAGAGCACTTTCTGTGTCTAGACACTCCTCTCCTGATATCAGTGCACTTCCTGTGCCTAGACACTTCTGATATAAGAGCACTTCCTGTGCCTAGGCACTCCTGATATCAGTGCACTTCCTGTGCCTGGGCATTCCTGTTCTGTAGCCTCATAGCTCTATGTCTGCAGTGTGAGATCATCTAAAACACTGCTGCCTCTGCCTTCTGGTCTCCCCTTATTTTGGAGTGTTCCTGATCTCTGCGGCTGCGGACCGGGAAAATGTCTCAGTGCCTGTGATTGGCGCTGCGGCACTGTCAGCTTCCTGGCGGGCTCGGCACGTGGAGCTGCGTACACGCCACGAGCCCATCGCTAGACACAATGTAGAACAAGGCCTGATAAGCTATTAATAGGGAACGATCAGCCGCAGAGAGACCGCAGGCAGTACTGGTGACCGGTCCTGCGTCCTCTGCGTCCTATTTGTGGTCACAGTTCCCAGGAAGTCGGTATGACGGCGTTTGATTCCGGAATCTTCTCACTTTTCGGCCGCATTGTAACATTATTGTGAAGCCATTGAGCGGTACACTCTGCTGCCTTGTTAGCTCTCCTCGGATCATAGCCCGGGCTTCCCAGGGGCCTCCGGATAACTCGAGGCTGTTTGAGGAACTTGGCAGGCCCTGTCACATCAGGAAATATGCACACGCCGCCGGCTCTGACATGGCGGAGGCCGCGCGCAGCCAAATGTGGATTGTAATCTCTGGAGCGGTGCAGCTGTCCCGTAAAATGTTCACAAGAAGAAAACTACCGGAACGTTCCGCGTTTCAGAGAATCGGACTTTATAGCAGCAATTTATTAGAGGAAGTCCTTGTTGGTTCATCGGTCTTTCTTTTCCATCACCAGGCTTTAGTCCTGCCCACAGGTTTTCAATGGGGATTGGGTCGGGACTGCTGTATTTTCTGGTCAGTCAGACCTCCCTTTTCAGCCTTGACAGTATGGGGGGGAAGTCCCTGAACTCTGAGCAACAATGTATCTTATTTGCGTATCACTCGGCTGTAGATCCTCCAATCATCTCTGACACCATCTCTGTCCTTCCTTCTGGAGGGGGGCTACGTCTGTTCCCCCATGGTCCCTGTGTGTGTTGTAAACAGTGGCGGACCTAATGAACAAAGGGCACTGGTGCAAGATTTCGTCTTGGGCCCCCCGTCCCAAGCAGGAGGGGGGGGGGGTGCGGGAGCGGATCACACTGGCCCCCCAACCCCCCGGTGGTCTCTAATGTCACAGTAATGCACTGGACCCTGGACTTGAACCTGAGACCCCACAGAGCCCACCTGAGAGTGACATTGCAGAGAACACCATAGATCCTGCATAGCCCACCTGAGACTCTCTATGGTGGGCTCAGCAGGGGTCTCTTTCCCTGCACCTCCTCTCAACTCCTCTTACCTGCTGCTGCTGGGGCCCGGCCTCCTCCACCCCCTCCCCCGTCGCCTCTGTCATGCCACCCCTGGTACAGCTGATACCCATGTAAGGGGCCCCCAAGGCTGCCCAGACCCCTCACGTGGGTACCGGCCGTGTTCTATCAAAGTTTGTGACTACGTTACAATGTGTGACCGGTGACGTGGTCACACGTTTTAACGTAATCCCGCCCAGTTTTTTGGCGGTGGAATGTGTGACCGCCCATTAGGTGAAGCATTCCAACGCTTTCTCAGCTGTTCCAGGGCAGATCGGCATGGCAGATGGTATGTGCAGGAGAACCGATCTGCCCTGGAACTGCTGATCGGTCCTGAAATGTCACTTCTATCCGACTTTGTGACTGCGATCTCACATTCCACGAAGTCGGATAGAAGTGACATTTCCGGACCGATCGGCTGTTCCAGGAATGCTTCACCTATTGGCTTCCGCGAAGTTCTTGTCCTACACTCTGTAAGCTGATAAAGCTCTCCAGTGCGCCCGGTACCGCCTGGAGGGGTCGTAGAATGGAACTCCACGAGAGAGCCAGCGACGCCGTGCGAAGTCTGTGATCCAATTAGGCTAATGACCCCCCGGAAGGCATGACTTAGGCCCCGTTCACATATAGCGACATACCTTTTGCAGCGGATCCGCACGGCCGGGATAGCGCGACTTTCGGGGCGACGTTCCAGCGACGATCCAGCGACGGTAGCACGACCTTCCCCGTCGGGCTCCATAGAAAAAAAGTAAAATCGCGCAAAATCCGCCGAAAAAAGGGTCCGGTAGAAGCGACTTGCGACCGCGACGAGTGACGAGCGACGCGCGACATGGAGTTAAGACAGCTCCATTGAATAACATTGGCCGGCGACTTCTCGCGATATCGCGCGGCAAAAATGCGCGATATCGCGGCGGAAATCGCGCGACAATTCGCTATATGTGAACGGGGCCTAAATCTTACTGAGCCGATCGGAATGCACGGCCGGTGCTCTTCGGTTGTAAACGCGCGGGCTCGGGCCGGCTTTACTCGCCAATCTAGAGATCACATCGGCCTAGAAGATTGGAGTCACAGCAACCGGCCGCTATATACTTCTAGGAGGGATTTGGAAACGTTTGTTAGAACAGAACGGCCACCTCCTAAGTGAACCTGTCACCTGTAGAGTTCATTTTCATGACATCGCATTGAAAATTGTGACAAAGAAACGGTGTTCTTTAGTAGTTTTCAGGGTTAACGGGCTTTCTCATGTCTCCTGAGGGTTACAGGAGCTCCTTTCAGTTATGTTGGACCTGCTCCTGTGCCAAAAACTGCCCCATTAACCTCATCATTATTTATTTATTCCATCTTAAATTAAAGGAGAACTGTGGGGTCAGTGTTTTCCCCTATAGAAGTTTTTTTTTCTACATTTTTACAAGTGATTTCCCAAAGATATAAAATTCTGTATGAACGATATAAAGCCCCGTCTGTCCCGAAAAAAAGATGTATATATGATACATTAGGGTAGAATGTTAAGCGTAAAGGCTCCAAAAATGTAAATTGTTTCATTTCGGATTGATTTTTTTTTTCCGGATTTCAGATCCAAACTTCGATTCGGTTTGTCATCCAGAATTCGTATTGATCCACATTTTTCATTTTTAGTTCAGATCAATTCGGATAGGATTCTTTCATTAAAAAAATAAACTTAATAGATTTTTTTGGGGTGGGGTTTGGTTCCATACTTGTCTTCTTAGTCCGCACTGGTCCTCTTAGTCCGTACTGGTCCTCTTAGTCCGTACTGGTCCTCTTAGTCTGCACTGGTCCTCTTAGTCCGCACTGGTCCTCTTAGTCCGTACTGGTCCTCTTAGTCCGTACTGGTCCTCTTAGTCCGTACTGGTCCTCTTAGTCCGTACTGGTCCTCTTAGTCCGCACTGGTCCTCTTAGTCCGTACTGGTCCTCTTAGTCTGCACTGGTCCTCTTAGTCCGCACTGGTCCTCTTAGTCCGTACTGGTCCTCTTAGTCCGTACTGGTCCTCTTAGTCCGTACTGGTCCTCTTAGTCTGCACTGGTCCTCTTGGTCTGTACTGGTCCTCTTAGTCCGTACTGGTCCTCTTAGTCCGTACTGGTCCTCTTAGTCCGTACTGGTCCTCTTAGTCCGTACTGGTCCTCTTGGTCTGTACTGGTCCTCTTAGTCCGCACTGGTCCTCTTAGTCTGAACTGGTCCACTTAGTCCATACTGGTCCTCTTAGTCTGTACTGGTCCTCTTAGTCCGTACTGGTCCTCTTAGTCTGCGCTGGTCCTCTTAGTTCGTACTGGTCCTCTTAGTCCGTACTGGTCCTCTTAGTCTGCGCTGGTCCTCTTAGTTCGTACTGGTCCTCTTAGTCCGTACTGGTCCTCTTAGTCCGCACTGGTCCTCTTAGTCCGCACTGGTCCTCTTAGTCCATACTGGTAATTAGAATTGAAAATTCGGATGAAATTTGGAAAAAGAAAATCTGTGAGGAAACGAAACGCACATGTCCAGCACATTGGAAACATTACAATATATAATGTGCGGAAACTAAAATATGAAGCTCCTCTCTGGGACTCTGGATGAGGGAGAATGAAGTCCCGGGACCCGATGGGTTAAACATCCCGACACGAGACGCTTTGAAACATTGTTTCTTTTAAAGCTCCACTTATTGAATCTTCTCATGACTTATTTATTTCCTCTAAACCATTCTTACATCTCCTCCACTTCGTTATGTCTCCATGAAGATGCGCAGCCTCTCAGACGTAAAATAAAACGATGTGTCATATTTGTCTCTCCGTGGCGGCGTGTGCGCCGTGCGCGGTGAATGGCGCTCCCCTCCCCTTCTCCTCCATCTTGCCTTACTAAAAAACAAACAACTCCAAACACTAATATTTTATCCATTTGTGATGTCGGCTGTTATTGGGTTTGTTATTTTAGAAAACGGTTATAAATAAAGAATTTGTCGAGCTCGCGGGAAGCGCCCCCCGGCGTGCGATGGCACTTTACAGCGCCGAGACCTGACAGGAAAATGCAGCGTGCAGAGAGAGGAGGAACGTGGGGAATGGTGTGATCTGGGGAACTACACGTTGCAGCATGCCTTCTTAGCTGTCTTCTCTGTCCTTGATAAAAGCAATAAAATAATCATATTAATGAGCATGTAGCAGTGGTGTCACAAGGTGGGTGCAAACCGCACCCCAGGTGACACTATTGGAGGGGTGACACCAAAATGACTGGCAGTCATTTTGGTGTCACCCCCTCTGAAAAGTCGGGCACTCGGTCATGGACCGAGAGCCCGACAGTTGCTCGAGGGAGAGGAGGGGACTCCGGCGGCATACCTTATCCCGCCGGGTGAACGTCCCCTCCTCTGTCTGCTGGTGTCCATCACCAAGATGGCCGCCGGCAGGTAATAGTGGTACATCTTGGTGATGGACACCAGCGCGTGACGATAATGCGGAGACAATAGTGCGTGACGTCAGATGCGTATGCAATTATAGAATTGCGGTGTGTCACCTGGTACATGCACCGTGTGTCACCCCACCTCGGGATGCCTCTGCCATGTAGATTGCACTAGGCAGGGGGGTCCTGAAGCGGGGTCACACGCTGTTACCTGCCGTCGGCCATCTGAATGATGGACGCCAGCAGAGAGAGAAGGGGACGTTCACCCAGTGGGATAAGTTCTGCCTCCAGGTCCCATCCTCTTTCGTGCAACTGTTGGGCTCTCGGTCCATGACCGAAGTGCCCGACTTTTCAGAGGCAGTGACACCAAAATGACCGTCAGTCATTTTGGTGTCACCCCCTCCAATGATGTCACCGGGGACCAGGCTGCACCCCCTTAGTGACGCCACTGGCTCTAGGTAACGTCCACATGTGACACTGGGACTCCATGATTGAAAGAACTGAAAACCAATGAATGAAAGGGGCGGGGCCAGGGACAGTGGGGCTGGGGAGGAAAGGGCTTGCCAATTAATCAAAGGAGGAGGAGCTGGAGGATTAGCCAATCACAAGGTCCTCAGTGTCGGCAGTTTGTGGTCAGGGTGGCTCCAGGGGACCCTACCAGGGGAATGGAGCCACCTTAGAATTGGAAGCAGGGGGCTACCGAATTATAGAGAGACCATAAGCGGAGGAGGAAAGTACTAGCTGATGCTGGATGTCCTCCAGCCAGGAAATGAGGCAGGTTCTATCTGACTTGCTGCAGCTGCTCACCAGAAAAGGAGCAGTGACAGAGCCAGCAAGGGAGCGACACTGTAGGAGCAAGTGAATGCTCTTTTAGGATGAGTAGTGTGACATAGGCCTTAGGATTCTAAGCTGGTGGCATAAGTCTGAGGAAGTCACATGGGACTTAAGTGGTTAGAGCAGAATGCATGCATGATACGGTGGAGAACCCGCTGATCCCGGATAATCCAACCTCAGGTGCTCAAGTGATAAATATGCCGTAATCCTG